CCCCCTCTTTTCCCAAGAAAACAAACCTCAGCCCTGCTTTTTGTTATGCTGCTGACCCCAGGAATGTACCAGTCTGTGTAGTACTGCACATGGTGCCCCAGTGGGCTGTGGACTGTGCTCCATGCTGCACTGCTGTCAAATTACTGCTGCATGGTTCCTCTGCTTCATTCCTGTGGCCTGCCCTGAAGCAGAGCTCCTCTTTGTCCTGTTCTGCAGCTTTTCTTGGGCTAGTCATGCTCAAACCCCAGAATAACAGTTCTGAGAGGGCAAATGCGGACAAGGCTATTGAACTGTGTATCGCTACAAAGTGATGTGTCAGGTAGAAAAACTAGACTAGCCCTAGCCCTAGTGTCTGCTGCCCTCATAATCACCGTTAACTCACTGAACTTCTGCTAACATGTCACCATAATATAATTGAACTTTAGCTCAAGATAGTGAATCCATGCTCCACCAGCATTGTCAGCTTCTTTACCACTATGCCATCAGTGACTGTTCTGTATCTGGGACTGCTTAAGTAACAAAAGGGAGCAGCATACTTGCCAGAGCTGGGAGAAAACAGTACTTTATAATCTAATATTCCTCTAGAGAGAATCCTGAGTCTACTCATTGGGAGCCAGATTAACCAGTGACCTGACACCCTTGCCAAAAAGATAGTAAATATGTTCTGGAGAGAAACTGCTGCCAGACCCTCCTCCTGCCTGCCAACAAGAGAGGTGTCTGCAGCATGAGCGTGCGTAGTGTTGAAGTGGGTTAAACGAGCCTGAGCAAGGACAGAGCAGAGCCAGCTGTGGGACATGAGACGTGGGACCGAGTGTAGGTGTTGGGGCTTCTATTAACCTCACAGCTCAAGCTGCAGGTGTCCATCTCACTGTTGCTGGCAAGCCAAGACTTGAGCCTTTTTCTGTACGCAACTTCCCATAAAAGCATTTTTTCTTGTGTCTTGTGGTCTCTGAGACCGCAGAGAAATGCAGGCAGCGCTTTGACGGGACACGTTCCTCCCGCTGGTAGTAGAGTTCCTGAGGCCAGCAGTTCTCTTCTTCCTGTGACCCTGGCAGCTTCCCATTTGCTCCAATCGCTGATTATAGAGCTGAGCAGAGTTGCAGACGTATAGAAATACTTCTTATGTTTCCAGGGAATGTCTGAGCACTGATGAGTTGTTTGTTTGTTTGTTTGTTTATTTTATTCTTGATAACTAAGCTTCACATCTTTCCTCTGCACCCCATAGTTTGCTGTTGCAGTTTTTGAAGGGTTAGCACGTTGGTTTTAGTGAAGGCCAGGAATACAGCAGGTAAAGAGTCTATGTGGTGAAGTTGAAAGAATAGAACGCTGCTGATGGGTCTGATCTGCTGAAGGAGAAGGAACATATTGGCAACTACAAATGAAAAGGCCCTGGAATGAGAGACATGTACCATGTGTTGTTACTCACATGAAGATAATAAATCCACAACTTTGCAGCAAGCTGGGGTCAGGCATTTTGTGCAGAAACTTCTCCCTAGCAGGTTCCTACTGATTTGGCAAGTTAATGAACAGCGATAAGAACCACAGCCAGTCCTGCTGCTGTTTTGTCTTACTGCTTCCAGCTTCAGCCATCTACCCCACCTTCACCCACACAAATCTTTGTGTGCAGTGCGAGATCCTGCATGGAAATTGAGTGCCTTTCACCGGAGTATCAGACCTTCCACCAGACCAGGTTGTTGAAAGCCCCATCCAGCCTGGCCTTGAGCACTGCCAGGGATGGGACATCCACAGCTTCTCTGGGAAACCTCTTCCAGTGCCTCACCACCCTTGCGGTGAAGGATTTCTTCCTGATATCTAATCTAAATCGACCCTCTTTCCAGTTTGGAATGGGAAGGGCAGAAAAACATTTGAGACAAGTCAAACAGTGTGACCAGTGTGACCCTGGATGTCGCAGAACTAGGACATATCTGTAGTGTTCATCGAAAGGCACTAGCGTGTGAAAACCAAAGACAGGATTGATTCAAAGAAAGACTTCTCATATCGAGTCTGTTTCCTT